TTTGGAGTACTCCTTGGTCCTTAGGGAGTACTCTTTACACGCATGCATGGAGTAGTCGCGATTTTTGCAGGGATATATCAGCACACTTTTTAAATATTTCCGACTTTCAGAAACAAAAAAATCACTTAACTCGTTTTTCCGAACGGACGATTCTAATGTTATTTGTTGCTTCGGTAAAATTCTTCCGAATTCAAGGTATGTACAAGGACAAGAAATTGTCTGTTCATTTCAACGAAATGAATATCTGGTCAGAAAATTTACCCCATCGAAATGCAGAAGTTAGTAGAAAGAACTTCCCAGCGGGGTAGATATCAGCAATGAAAAACGACCAATACAAACACAAACGACAAACACACATACACAAAACATATTGCCTATGTACATATTCACGTATGTATGTGGCTAGGTTAATGGCTGCAGTTAAAGTGTCGGTCGCCCGGTCGGCTCGTTGTCTCGCAGTGGAGGCGTCTCAATGCACCGTTTTAATGTGGTTTATTGACTTCTCGAGTTCGCTTTTCCTCCTCAGCGTACTCTGCTGTCCTCTGGCAGCGCTATCTTCTTGGGCCAGGCTGTCTGCGGATATCGGTGCTTAAGAAATGCTGCCGCCGACAACGTTTTGTTAAGTGAAACTTTGATGGTACTTAAGTATATCTACCTCCATACTAGGCATGTAAGTAAACATGCAGACTAGCACACTGACTAAGAGTAAATATAACAAGTAAGAAAGTCTAAGTTCGGGCGGAGCCGAACATTAAATACCCGGCGCAAGTATTAAATATATGTTTTCCACCTTTCCGAAAGCTACCGCTACATGATAAGCCGGGGTGTATACATTTTAAGTAAATTAGCGTCCTTAAATTTCGAAATATTGCAGTTTCAAGCATATCTGAAATTTACCGTTATATGAAAAGCGGCCTCAATTCTAGTCCGATTTCAACAATTTTCAACGGTTTGCTTTTATGTGGCAAGCACAATAACCATACCGAGCTTGGTACAAATTGCTAGAACGGTTAGCGAGATACATATACGTGATCATAAGTGGGCGGTGCTACGCCCATTTTCCAAAATTTTGTCATAAACGTATTTCTTGGTAAAGAATTGTTGCAATCATCAATTTTGAATAAATTAGCTTCAATATTTACTGATTTATCGAAGATTTTGTATTTCTCGAAATTACCGTTATATGGGATGTGGGCGTGGTTATTGTCCGATTTTAGAAATTTTCGGCCAGTTGGTATGCTGTATCAGGACCAACAACTGTGCCAAGTTTGGAAGAAATTGGTGTAGCAGTTACCAAGATATACACATGTAACCATAAGTGGGCGTGGCTACGCCCATTTGCCAAAATTTTGTAATATTCTTATTTTTCGTCTAAAACTCATTGCAAATATCAATTTTGAGTGAATTATCTTCAGTAGTTACTAAAATATCGCAGTTTTCGTTTTTCTGAAAATTACCGTTATATGGGAGGTAGGCGTGGTTATTGTCCGATTTTTAAAACTTTCAGCCATTTAGTAAGCTGTACTAAGGCCAACAACTGTGCTAAGTTTGGAAGAAATTGGTGCAGCGGTTACCAAGATATACACATGTAACCATAAGTGGGCGTGGCTACGCCCATTTTCCAAAAATTTATAATATTCATGTTTTCCGTCTGAAACTCATTGTAAGTATCAATTTTGAGTGAATTAGCTTCAGTAGTTACTAAAATATCGCAGTTTTCGTATTTCTTAAAATTACCGTTATATGGGAGGTAGGCGTGGTTATTATCCGATTTCGCCCATTTTCAATACCATCTGTCCCACGCCCAAAAGAAGTTCACGTACCAAGTTTCGTTAAGATATCTCAATTTTTACTCGAGTTATCGTGTGCACAGACGGACGGACGGACGGACGGACGGACGGACGGACAGACAGTCACCGCTTAATCGATTTCTCTTTTCATTCTGATCATTTATGTATACATTTGTCTATATCTATCTCGATTCGTTTTGCCTGTTACAAACAACCGTTATGTGAACAAAGTTATAATACCCTTGTGCACAAGTGCGCTCGGGTATAAAAAGTGCAAGAAAAGGCAAAGCGCGCTATTTAACGATATTCGTTGCTTTAAAGTAATAAATATGTTTATCAATATTAGTTTAGTTATTACTTATGTTTAGGGCGCGCCAAAGGAGAAATTGGTTATCCTACACGTAGAGTCAGTCGGTTGTTCAACATCAACTCAATTAAACTACATAATCGTAGTTGTGCTTCTTTCATCGCGCTTGCCTGACTAATTTGAATAATTGCTGATCATGGTTTATTAATAATTAATAAGTAGTTACTGCCGGCAAAGCGCGCCAAGTGAAATTTTGCAGAAGAAATGAGCAAAATGATATTTGAATATCAATACTTAAGTAATACCTTTTACTTAGACTATAAATTAAGCAAAGTCGATATTTAAAAGGATTGAAAGGCATTATCTACCATAAAAAAATGCCAAAGAAGCATAGCTTAAAATGCAAAATAAGCGCTTTCTTTCCACGAATTCCATTAATTATCCAGCTTAATCGCCTACAAGCGCCAAAGAGTTGCAAAAACATTCATCACAATGATCTTAATGATATTTTACTAAAAAAACGACAACACTCGATATTAGTGAGCGATTGTGTGCTTTAGCTACTACCAAAACCGCTGCACGGCTTGCCTTTTACAGCGAATTCTGTTATCCAAAATTGATGTCAATAAATCGATTTAAAATCAATGGTGAAATTTTATTGATGTGGGAAAATGGCTTGTTAAAAGCAAGCAAATAGAGTTTAGTAGGAAGGAAAGTTCTGTTCATTATTTGATTTGCTGTGAAATTTGCATATTTACTAAGAGTGGCACACATTTTTACGTACATATGCATACGTATGTATGTATGCGCCTATATTGATTTTTGAGTTATATACATACATACCTATTTAAGATAACTTGCATTCAAGTAGTTTATATATTTATGTAAATTCTCAACATTTACATTCCCTGACTAAAGAATTTCGAAACAAAATTAAATGAAAAAAATAATCAGAGCTGTGAAAGAATATTAAGTTCGAAGAATATTGCAGAAGTTGCAGAGATGAGGAGAGGAAGGACGAGTCGAGAACTTTTTCTGCAGTTGACCAGCTTTGGCCAGTAGCTCATCAGGCTTTTTAGGTAGGCACGTTTTTAGCTCTTTTATGGAATTATCCTAAGTAGGAATAAAACGCTTCATAAGAACTTCAATGGATCTGCAAGGTCTAAGTGAGTTGGTTATTTGAACTGAGTGCCACACCAACCTAACCTAAGTTCGAAGAAATAAATACTTAATTCCTGTACGAATCGAAGAGTACAATAATTCTCCTTTGGTAATCTCTAAAAAATAAGCAAAATTGCGTGGTATCCAAATGTTTACGTCACATTTTGAAATTTATCGTTTTCGCGTTTGAATCTGGTATTGAAAATAAGTAAATTGATCAGTACTCAGATCTAATACAAATTCATATTTATTAACCAAGCTGTCAAAAACTACAACAATAGGCGGAAAAATGTATTCATTACTAATACATACTCACAAGTTTCTGTCAAATCATGCGAGTGAGAGGAATAGGTAATCACATGTATTGATGAGCGTAACAGACGATGGCAATTTTTTGCCTGTGGTCCTAATAAAAATGACTACATCGATCTTCTAACGAAAAACACCACATTCTGTCAGATGTGTCGTTCTTCATCAATTCTTTGGTACTGTTCTTGCTGGATTCTCATGGGCTTTATAAATTACATATGTACATATGTACTTATATATATTGGATTTTTCAAAAGTCCGCATACGTTTGGAAAATACTTACGTATATGAATAATTTCTGATATTAGCAAAAGTTCCACAATATTGAGGAGACGGTGAGAAACTAGAGTGAAATCGTTAAATATTTAGCCCAGCAATTTTCAAAAGATAACTTGCATACTTTACATATGTCAATTCTGTCAGTAACAAGAATAAAAAAATTAAAATTTCAAAAATGTTCAATTTAAAAAATATTTTTGACTACATCTGTATGCATGTATGTACATAAGAGTGGTCCTTAAAATTAAATGAACGTTTTTTTTTAGTCTCACCCCCTAAATCGGTAATACTACGGTCAGAGATGTCACATATAAATTTTAGTCCCGATTGGGGACGGTTATGGCGTGTCGCAAAGGGTCAAAGGCCAGATGTCTCTATGGACTAAAAATTTTAAAAACATTTTTTTCATTTAATACCCAAAATCGATACTACTTAAGTCGAAGATATCTCATATAAATTTTGGTTGGTCATTGGGTAATCAGAACTTTGACCCCTGTGCGAAACGCCTTAACCGACCCCAATCGGGGCCAAAATTTTATATGTGATATCTTCGACTATATTAACATCGGCGTAGGGGTTTAGGCTTAGGAAATCTGATGTAAAGATTTGCTTACTACATTTACGGACCACCCTAATATACATACATACACTTCGTTACAAAAGGTTGCATTTACAAAGTACAGAGAAATGCGAAGAATGAAGTCCCTTGGTGCGAAAATGGTAGTAGAAAAGTACGCAAAGTAGGCAGTTAGTAGTGAAATTCCTTCTGTAAATTCTAATGTATTTGCACCAAATTTGGCATCTTTAACGAAATATTGAATGAAATATTAAGATATCTACGTGAATTACGTAATTTACATAAGTGCTATTTAGCGGTATAAAAACTGCAAAAGGGCTCAAAATTAAAATAAAATTACTATGACTTTTATGTAATTTGTCGAATTTAGAAACAATTTATGTTTCCATCAGTTAAATGTGCTTTATATGCATATATGTACAAATAAACATATTGTACGAAAACGTATGCATATTTCTATTTCGCACATAAACTACACTTTTTCAAGTAAATTTGCAAAGAAGCAACACGCTGCCACTGCTAAGTGTGGGTGTTGCCTACTTAATTTAGAAATCCCTCGGGTTACTTAACTCCGAGCCAGTTTTCAATACGCGCAACTCAACTCTTTAATTTTTATATTTAACTCTGAATGTTCCGCAAGTGGGCCTAAGCAAATTTTCATAAGAAATGCAACAAATTCCGCCATATTTCATCTATGTACCTATTCCACACTTACCGTTTTCTTTCCAACTCCATTTGTGTTGTTGCTGCTCCCATTGTGGCCATTTGTCGCGGACGTTGTTGATGTCTGCTGTGACGTTGACATTTTGCCGCCATTCAACTCTTTGCCCTCCATGTCGTCATGAAACTCAAGTTGAGCTGCCGCTGCTGCTTCTTCGTTTTCTGCTTGCAACTGTTCCGCTTGCAGTTGCTGATCGTGATGCTGTTGTTGTTGCTGTTGCTGTTGCTGTTGCTGCAGCTGCTGCTGCTGCGTCTGTGGCACGTTTTGGCTCGTGTTGGCGATCGTCGTCGTACGCTCACATTCTGTAGGCATTTCAAGTGCAGCTGAAAATAGTTTTTCAGCGCGTTGTGTGTTTTTCAGGAATTTTTGCGATGTATTTTTAAGTCTGATTTTTATTTATTTTTATTTTTTTTTGGTTTTTCTGCTTTTTTTTTCGTTTAGTTGTGTTGTTTGTTTTCTTGCATGTGCAGCATCATAAAAATCACGTCGCGTGCCACAAAGCACAAACAAGTTGATCGTTTCGATTCGGGCGTTGGTTTGATTTGCTTAGATAAACAGAGTTTTCTCGTTTCTTTCGGTGTGTAATTTAAAGTTGATCAAAATCTATTTGTTTATGTTACTTTTTACATTTACTGTAAACTATATTTTCTTCTTCCTCTTTGGCACGTGCTTCTGCGGGAATTGTATGTGTTGTCTCTAATTTTTATTTTTTTATTGCTTTTCCCGTTCCGGGGTGTCAAGTTTTTGATTATAAATTAGCGGTGTAGCAGCCTACGCGCGAGTACGTCTATGTTTTGAACTGTTTTCGTTTTATGCACGTTTCGTTGTTTATACAGCTGCCAGTTGTTTTGTTGTTGTTGTTGCTGTTAATTTAGTATTGTTTATGCCGCATTTAGCTTCGAATTTCAATAACTGTGGATGATAAGAAGAAACCGGTAATGAAAAACTTTTCGTTTAATTTCGTGAAAAAATTTGAGTATTTATGTCTTAAACAAAGCTATTAATTAAAAAATTTGATTCACTTGTCAGTTTCATTACAAACGTGGATATTTATGCAACCAAAATCGTCTGAAGACGGAAATTACTTAATACATACATACATATGTATGTACAGCCATAAAAAGGTTCGTTGATTAGTGTAGGCGCACGTCACAAATATCCACCAAAAAGTGGCCGGAAATAAATGACACGATTACAATCAAAAATGCGTGTCAAATTTCAAATAAAATGGCTTTTTAATACCCATCATACATATATCAGAAGATCAACTTGCATACATATATATATACTCATATACATATATGTATGTAAATACATATGTACGTCCAAGTATCGGTTGCATTTGAAACCTTTAGTAACCGTTATTCATTTCGGCTCTTCGAACAATTACAACAATATAAGTACCACCAGTATTTTAGCACTTGGACACTTTAATGACTTAATTACCACCAACAAAGAGGCAATTAAGTAGAATTGAAAAAGATAATTCTCATGTTTGGTCATAAATGCCACCTCATTTCATGAATGATAATATCAGTACAACCCAAGATTTGGAAAATACAAAAGGCCTTTAATGAGATTTTTTTTTAATTTAACAGAAGAAAAAGAAAAACAGTCAGCTACGGACAGTTTCCCGATCATAACTTCACGAAAGCTGAAGGTTTAGGGAGGGTTTGCAATGCCTGCTTGGAGTTGGGAGTAAGTTTTTTGGATTCTCTTCTGTTTACACTATCGACTTGGAGTAAAGTTTTACGCTGAGGCTGAAAAAACTCTCAAATCCAAGCTCAAATTGTAAGGCCTCCTACATTTGCCTAACACGGTATTTATTTTTTAAATAAAACGGCATTTTATTCAAGTCATAACCATAAACTTAATTTCTCCTAAACTTTTCATTAATTTCAATTTAAGTAATTTTTCCAAAATTTATTTTCCCTAAAAATGGGGGTGTCGGAAAATATGGATTTTTTTAGAGAAATAATTTTTTCCAAAAAACCCCTTTTTTAAGTAGTGTATTTTTTTTTTGTAGATACTACTTAAACAAAAATGTATTTTTTGTTCATAATGTTTTTTTTTTATTGTAAAAAGCCCTTTTCACCTAAAATGTGAAGTCTTAAAGAACGGCTCTTCTCCATAAAAGTTTTTCGCCTAAAATTATACATATTTTAAAATTCTTATTATTAGAATAATTTTTCATGAAATAATAATTTTTACCGGAACAATTTTTAGTTTGGTTAAACAAATTTTTCCCAAAAACAATTTTTTCCAAAACTATGTTTTTTTCGTTAATTTATTCTGAAAAATTCAAACTAGAAAAATTTAAATATTTTTTTTTTTTTTTTTAATTTTGAAAAAGATCTTTTTTTTTAATTTTTATGATAAAAATACTTAGCTAAATGATAAAAAATAGGGCATCCTAGTAGTAGTATATATTCTTCACTTTTTCAATAAAAAATACTTTCCTCCATTTTAGAGTGGTCTCGGACACCCTGTATATAAAACTACTAAAAACATACACAATTTATTTTTAGTGGAGTAACTACTCTATCGTCAGCTCCTACTTTGATATGGTACGTAAATAGCTGTAACAGATTGGTTCTACCAATTTTAGTTAAATAATTTTGATCACACTTTTGTATCATCAACAAAAAACCAAACCGGAAAGAGTTCTTCGGACTTGGTGAGAGGCGATTGGTGAATCTTTTTGGTTCTGACCTAAAACCTAAAGAGTTCATTGAAATGTGAATATAAAAAATAGGTGATTCCTAGCTGCGTTCAAAATGTATCTAAAACGGTGTGTTTGTGCCAAATGGACATTGGAATTAATTAAAAAAAGTGTTGGAAAAGGGACAATTACTTTTACATCACTGGATGTTTACAAAGTAAGAGAGTTACTAGCTGTGAACTGGTTTACTTTGAAGGTCAACTACTTAGTTGGTCTTCTACCTTCTTCTGCTTGCTAAAAAATGTATGGCATTTTTTTTATTTTTTTTTTTTGGTTGATCGCACTTTAGATCTAGGTGTGCGATATGATAAGTAAAAGTAAACAGGCAATGTTTAATTTAATTAATACGGTGTGTAAATTTGCGTTCATTTGGTTGCCTAACTTAATAAATATGCGCAAATTTAAACCAAAAATTTGAAAGAGACGTACCTATTTGCAAAGAAAAAATATATTTTTTATCGGATTGAATTTTATTTTCTCATTTAAACCAATAGTATTTTAGCACCTACATAATATCACATTTTTAAAATGTTTAGTTAATGCACTTTTGTAGATACAAACATACTTAGGTGTTGACGAAGGCAATTTCAAAATGTTTCTTATTAATTTGAACTTCATTTAACGAAAGTTAAAATCCTTCTTCGCGATCACTTTAGAGAACCACCGACGATCAGCCGTTAAAAGGTTTTACAAGACATAAACAACAAACAATTTTTAGAAAGGAAATTACGCGCACGATCTGCATTGATCTGCGCAATTAACAGAGTGCAAAAAGGTTATTTACCACAAATTTTCACGCTCATAATTCCACAAGTACTCTGTGGCAAATGTACATACATTTGTACTTTCATAGCGATAAATCTAAGCCAAAAAGTATGGTAGAATAGTAGATCCGTGTGTTTGGCGACCGGCGAGACAAATGCCACAATGCACTTCAATTGCCTGTATCTACTTTACACATTTTATTTCTCAATATAAGCTACTCAGCGCCATTATGTACATTGCCTGCCTGAATTCAATGAAACTTTAAAGCATTAAAATACCTACAATGACAACAACAAAAAAAAACATAAGCGCTTGCACGCCGCCAACACGGACAATGATGAATTGTTTGCGAAGAAGAAAAAAAAAAGTGTAATAATTGCATTTGCTGCAATAAATGCGTGTGTGTGGTCAAGATTATTAGCTAATGCTTTGTTATTGTTGGTGAACGCTCTGAGAAGCTGCTGCAGAGTGAGTGCAACAGGCATTTATAGCGCCCCCATACCACACTTCCCCCACACTCCGCTGCCATCATCTTTGCTGCTCTGCTGCAGCTTGCAGGGGCTATGCAGGTCAAACTTATTAAGAAAATGCGCTGGCATTGCTCGTCTCTGATCCGCTGATGCGACGGAGAGCTGTGGCTTGCAATGTGACCAGGTCGCCTGCTGCCATTACCACCCCATCACGCACGCATCATAAAAAAAAAAACAATTAATGCCAACAACAGCTGTCATCATTTTCAAGCGTTGACCACCGGCAGTCAATTGCTACTTACATACATCAAAGAAAAAAAGCGATGATGAATAAAATTTATTAAAAAAAAAAAAAAAAAATCAGTCCGCTTCATCACCATCACTCACATCGCTGGCTGGCTTCCCTCTTCAGTTGTAATACAGCGAAAAGTGCATTTGCAAGTAGTAGACTTTCGCACAGCTATCTTTTACAAGACGCTGCAAGTGGTCGATGCATATACTAATTTGAGTTTGTAAATGAGTTTCCCTGTAGGGAAATTAAGACTGCAAACCTTTTAAGTACTACTTAATTCAATAAAAACCCGCTAGACGACTTCTCAGTATGTTGTTTAGATGAAATCGCCGAGTCGAAGTTGAGCCATTTTAAAACGAATGAAAGTGGATTACCTACGACAATAATTTCCAAAACAGTTCGTGGCCGAGGCTGAGACAATCTTCGGTCACAACACCAAAGAAGTTGTAGCTGGCCATTATGATGGGGTTTGAAAGCAAAAGTTAATCAAGAGATGCTCAAAATTCGCTGCTCTCCACGATTTATGAGACTAGAAGTAAACAAAAAAATTAAAATCAAAAGTGCGATATTTATCGAAATACCGCAAACTAACTAACTACAAGTAGGTTAATTTTATCAGCTGTTAATTTTTTATTACAGGGTATGTGCCATGTTTCTTCACAACACCATTTTGTCACTCCACATACCAGATAGTTTGTTGACTTGGAAATATTTGTAAGTGGTCCCCTATTATTATAACAAAGTATATATATTCTTTTGTTACTTGTTTGTTGTCATTGCTTGCTTGTTAAAAATGAATTTATGTTATTTCATCTTAATTAACTAATAATTGTTTGTTTCAACGCTCATATGTGTGATTGTATCTGTGGTAAAAGTTTCATCCAACAAAGTATCAATTTGTGTACTTGCTTTCACGCTTCTGCTAGTTTCTTCTTTGTTTTCTCTTGCTATGCACATATTTACGTATATACGTATGTAGGTATGTGCCATCCTTCTTCAAGTACTTATGCCCGCTTTGTACCGAGTAGTGTTACATGGAATTTGAGCCTTTGAAATGAGCCGCCCATTTAAAGCAATTGATGCGACAGGGTTAATTGATTCAATGAGAAGATGACCGCCCATATGAAGGGAGCTGGGCGGCTGGGTGATGAGTATTCTTAGAAAAATTTTTGCAATCTTTTGAAAAGAAATCGCTACGTCTATTTAGTGTTCCGAGTAAAGAATAAACCATAAATAGCCAGGTTCCAAAGTAGTAAAAATGTTTGATAAAAAAATACCCTGCTTTGGGTCAGTCTGCCAGCATTCTTTAGATGTTCTGTGTCCAGGAAAGGCTTGTAAGTCATTGTGAAAGATGCCCCATTTTTTCTGCGTGCCATTCCATGCCTACTATACATAAAAAAATGCTGAGTGAAATTAACAAAATAAAAATCTGTTGGAAAATATTTTCTGACAAAAGTTTTCAACAATACCTCATTCATTTGATATCCATATTGTGATGTTTTAGATAAATTGTGGAGAATCAAAAATAAGTGGCAACCTTACACTATTATCGTAAGAGATAACATTTTGTATATAGGGAAAGCATTGTTTAAGAACCCGCTCTTGGTACCCATAAATAGTAAAATTTTACCTTTTTTCTAAACAAAAAATTAAATGAATATGC